TAGAAACCTGTGGTAGGCTGATTGCTGCTACCAGCGTGCCCCTGGCTTTTCGGTCAAATTTCAGGTCGAATATTACGTTGAATAAGACTTTTTGGTCGAGGCTTGGAATACTCAATACAGCACAGCTTACCAGAGTGTTGGTGCACCCCGCGTTCCCAAGCGTGCACTTGTTGATCTCGCTCAGACTCACTCCAGGCGTCGCCGGTGGCAGCTTGGTGGCATCGGTCAGGGACTTGAGGTGGCTACCTGAGGAGCCTACACCTTGCACTGGGATAGATACAGTTTTACCTGTAACGGAATGCCAGCTACTCACCAGCGTGTTGGTGCAGCCTGCGTTGCCGAGCGTGCACTTGTTGATCTGGCTCAGACTCACTCCCGGCGACTGCGGCAGCTTCGTAGCATCGGTCAGGTACTTGAGGGACAGCGTGAGAAGGTCCGGAGGGAACAGGCTGAAAATCACCCGCCAGAATTCAGAAAAGTCGTTGGTGTAGGGAAATCCGAACATGACCATCAGCTGCAGCACAAAGCCCAGGAGGAAAATGAAGAATCCGATGGTGTTGGCGTTGGCAGATTTGCGCATGAACGTCGAGACGAGGAACGCCAGCCCGGTCATTGCCACCCAGAAGAGGAAAAAGACGAGGAACAGCACGACGAAGCTGTTCTTCAGGAAAAACGCGAGCTGGAACATCATTCCGAAGCAGATGAGCAGAATGCAGGTCACGAGAGCTACTATTAGCTCCCACACCAGCCACGTGCTCCAGAAGACTGAGTCCATTAGGCCCATGGTAGCCATGGCTTGTCGGAGCTTTAACTCGCGCTCGATGACCAGGTTGGCGGCCTGCGTGACGAAGTTGAACATGGCTGCTGCGAAGAGGAACGTGGGGCCTGCCAGTGGGATGGCTGACAGCGACTGGTACGGCGGATGGGCGAACTCCGAGTAGCTGGGCTGCCACCCTATCGTCCAGTCTGGAGACGGGTGGGGTGGGGGAATGCAGGGGGAAACGCAGGAAGGTGAAGGGGGAGGTAAGGAAGATGCAGGGGAAGGGGGGATATGCGAAGAGTAACGATGGCTGACAGCGACTGGTACGGCGGATGGGCGAACTCCGAGTAGCTGGGCTGCCGCCCTATCGTCCAGTCTGAAAACGGGGAATGAGATGGGTGGGGTGCGGTAGGGTGGGGTGGAAAGAGAAGAGGGGCGAACCATGAGATGGGGCGGGGGTGGAAAAGGGGGAAGGGAGCAATGCAGGGGATTGGAGGAACAGCTAAGTGGGTGGGACTCGTGAGCTGGGTATGTCAACTCCTAATACCGAATCCGCCATTCAAGGTTCCCGACACGTGTTGCTTCCTGCCATTACCATTGGATACTGTGGTGATTCTCTTTACTGCATCAATTCATTTCCTCCTTGATTTAAGCGTCCGACTTCCCATCCTGAGCTGTTCTCTGAACCGGGTTGCCCGGTTACCACGTATCTTGAGCGATGTATCTCGCGATTTCCCTCTCCGCGGCCGCCTGCAGCGGCACCTGGTGGTCGAACGTGGGGTTCTCGAACCGGGTTCCCTTCCTCCCTTAACCGGGTTACCCGGTTACCACGCACCTTGAGCGATGTATCTCGCGATTTCCCTCTCCGCGGCTGCCTGAAGCGGCACCTGGTGGTCGAATGTGGGGTTCTCGAACGTCCCTCGCCGCACTTTCGATGTCGAATTCGTCTGCACGGCAAACCCGAGGTCGCCCTTCTCCGTGAACGCAAAGTGCAGCGCGCCAGCTGTCCGCATCGGATGGGCCAGCAGCCACACGTCCACGTCGCTTGGATTCGCGAATCCGATGATCTGGGGAGTTGGATTCGATGAACGAAGGAGAGAGCGATTGGAGAAATAAGGTTGAAGATCCAGGTTAGAACGCCAGGGGTGAGAGATGAGGGCATACGTGATATGAGGCGAAGGGGTGCGTGGGGGGGAGAGGAAGGTGAGTGGCGGGAGATTCGGCATCCTTTGCCTTCAGGAGAGACAAGAGAGTCATTAGACTGGTGTTTGCAGAAATGCAGCCTGCTCGGGTGGTGTGTGCACGTTAGGCTAGGATACTGCGTGTGTGCCTCTCCTGAGTGTTCTTAAACAGGCGCAACGTTTTTTGAAACGCCTGAGCAGTTGTTCATTTTACGAGAGGAGGTTGGAAAGAATAACCGAGCGTGTAACCGGGATGCCGTCTGTGTTGGCTGTTAGCGACGTACTCTGGATGAATTGATCGGACGGCCGGGATTGTTCGCGGAGATGTTCTGAACGAGAGACGTGATGATCTTGCTGTTGTTCCCGCTCCACAGAAAGTCGTAGCACGGCGTGAGAATGTTAAACGCGTTTTCGCACGCCATGATTGGCTGGACCTCCACGACGTTAGGATTCGGCGTGTCGCGAAACTCCGTGTAGTTTGTCAAAGCGGCTTTCACGGAAACGTCCACTAGGAAGATCAGGAGGATGAAGAAGAAGGACGAGCAGAGCTGCAAGAACGTCGCGGTTCGGTTGCGCCATGCTAGCAGCGCGTTCTTAATCATGAGGGCTTTAAACTGCTGGAAGAAGAGCTTCATGCCACGCACTCTAACAGGGATAAGAGGTTCGACATTACTGGGGTCTGGACCTAATACTTCCCCTTCATTTCCATTAGTACTCATGACGGCGAGACTCTTGCAAGCTAGGTTCCACGCAAGCCAAGCTAAGCTGCTAAGGTTGCTGTCGCTGTGTAACTAGAAAATGGAAGGACAGGCAGTCCCTCGCGAGCTAAGTTTCTCCAAGTCGCTTCGTAACTAACTAGATGCAGGAAAGCTCGTTGTGAATTCCTTCGTCGCTCCGTTCGACTTTGGCTATAAAAGCGAACTGTCGTTTCAAAGACTCTGGCTCCTAGGTTGCTGAATCACTCACAATTATTTTTCTCACATAAACGCTGAGAGAGCAGACACACAGAACTGAAAGCTATGAGGCACCACGATTTCCACCGAACTCTCGGTAGCTGGAATGAAAGCTCGCCTCGGCACCGTCAGGCTGGTGCCACGAATTCCTGGGGGCTACGAGGTTGCTGCAGCTTCCTATCAGCGACGGCGAAATGACGCGCAACGGCGGAAATCGCGTTTCTCTTAATTGGATCGACCCAAATTACTCCGACCTCGCCACGTGGGCGTTTCCCTAAATTGGATGGACCCCGTTTGCGCGCGCCCCTCCAACCCGATTTTTCCCGTCCTTCCCCTCCGAAATTCGGGCAGCTGTGTTGACTTTGCGTGGAATCACAAACAGTCGTAATTACTCTGATTTTCGGTACCTTCAAAATATCGCCAGGTGAGGAAATTATGAATGGTAAAAAAAGTGGTAATTGCTCTTGCGCGCTAGAGTAACATGCATGCGGATCGTTTGGTTTGATCAAGGTTGGGTTTGGTATTCCGTGGTTTGGGCAGATGTGTCGATAACGTTTAAGAAAATACGATACTATCACTGTGCATACAAGTCTTTAGAGATCGAGTACTCTAGGCACTTTTGCCGAAATGTTAAACCTGAAAGCTGAGGTGGCAAGCCTCGCAATCCCGAAAATGTTGGCACTACGTGGCAAGGTAGAAATTGCGACTGTTTGTGATTCCGCGTAGAGTCAACACAGCTGCCCGAGCTTCGGAAAGGAAGGGCGGGAAAATCGAGCAAACAGGCGCGCGCAAACGCGGTCCATCCAATTTAGAGAAACGCCCACGTGGCAAGGTCGGAGTAATTTGGGTCGATTCAATTAAGAGAAACGCGGTTCCCGCCGATGCGCGTCATTTCGCCATCAGCGACAGAAGCAAAGCGATGAAGTTGAGCGACAGGATCTGCAGCTACCGTACTGTACCCAGCCTACGACGACGCGGTCGTCTCAACAGTGCGGGAATTTTCAGGCAAACGGTCGCCTTTCTTCCTTTCGCAGCATCGCTCGCTTTCCTGCGATGTCGTCCCTTTGCGACGCTCGACGAAACCGGGTGGCGCCGCGAAAGCTCGGGGATCCATTCTGCGTGGGGGGTACGCTCAAATAATTTTCCCCTCTCCGCCCAGCAGATTCTCCCCCCGTCCGCGCAGCGCATATTCGCCGTACGCCGTACAGTTCGGAATCAAGCGTACGACTGACATGAAACGCATGGGAGATGCTAGCGGGGAATTCTCAGGATGGGGAGATCTTCGCGCGGAGAGTTCGGTGTTGGCGGAAACCGACGAATCGCAAGCCCATCCATCAAGGGATGCGGTGTTGCGAGGCGCGCAAAAGTAGGCCAACAGCTGTGGCACCGCCAGCCACATCCATAGGCTCGGCTGCCCTACGCTTGGACTTCACGCATCTCAAAACGGTCACTGGTTCCAAGCAAGAGTGGGTTGTCCGCGACATAGTCAAGGACAAAATAAAAGTGTAAACAGCGCCCACCTCGATTAATTTCGAAATTCACATAGTTGGAAACCTTTGTAGCACTTGCCTAACATCTCTTCTACGTTATCCCACTTTCTTCATCCAAACGGCATAACACGCACATTAATGTCAGGACCATTGCATCCAGAACTTTAATATAGCGCAGAGAGTAAATACATATTTTTACATGGCACAACAACTGCGTATCGTTCCACCCATAGCATGTATCATCCAAGCACACACCCTTTCGATATTGGATCCCATGTAGTTTGTACTGTGTACTGAACGCTTGCGATACCAACCAGGTTGTTTGCAAACCCATCGTTTTCCACCAGCCTACCCCACTCATTTTCACATATATCCTTGATCTCTAAGGGCTCGCGTGGCTCGCTCCTTGCATATGTCCACCCATCCTTCTCTGGATTGGTCGCAAAGCTAGCAAGTTCCCTCGCGATAACATTCACAGCAGCATCTTCATAAATGTTGCCATTTGGAGAGCTCCTGATTTGGGAAAAAAGAGGGAAGAAGGAGGACGGTGCAAAACAAAGCGTATGAGCCACACATCACTTCCGCTGCCAACTCGGGCGAAATGCATGCGCGGAACTTACGAGTGGCCAAATAGGTGAGCACACTTCTCCGGGCACTTGCTAGCGTCGCCAATAACCACGTATCGGATGCTGCTCGTGTAGCCATCCCATGCCGTGAAGTTCATGTGCTGCCGCAGGGAGCACCAGTCATCGCACATGTAAGTGTTCTCGTACGGCGCTGCTAGTGCTACATCGGGGGATGCGAGAATGAAGTAGATGGCCGTGTCGTCTACGGGAAGCATGCCACCGTCGCCCAACGCATTGCTGAGAACTGGATATAAGGTTGGGAAGGTAAGCAAGAGAGAAGGAACGAAGTAGGTGGGTGAGGAAGGCAGAGTGATGTTGGGGGATGAGAGGACGAAGATGGCCGTGTTGTCCACAGAAAGCATGGCACCGTCGCCCAGCGCGTTGCTGAGAACTGGACAAGGTTGGGAACACTTGGGAGAGCGACGAAAAGTAGCATGTGAGGTGGAGAGTTTCCAGTATAAACCCGGGAGAGCGAGGACTAAAATGATGGCCATGTGAAGAAAAGAAGTAAGCGAATTGATGAGGTTGGGGATGCAGGCATGAATGTAAATGAAACATATGACAAGAAACAGGTTGAGCAAAAGAGGGTAGAACCGTGGAGCGCACATGCAGAAACAGATATGTGGATATAGATGTAACAGGGCATTTGAAACAGGGCAGATCAGAACGAGGCATACCCGTTTCAACAGAGGCTTCACAGCCTGTTAGATCACTTCCAGCAGAGTAGTTGTCCCTCCCCGACCCGGCCAGAATAACCTGTTGGTAGTACCAAAGAGCACCATGAAAGACCAGGGGGCTTCAAATAATAACCATGAGCTCCCATCTCCAAGCAACTCGAGCAGCTAATACAGCGTTCTGAAAACTAAAGCAACCGAAAGCAGAGCCGTGATAATGAGCTGCTGGAGAGGATGAGGCCATAACGGTAATTGTTAAGTCGATTTCACCCATCAATCAGCACCTGGTCCGTCACGTTGACTATGATGCCAGGGTTGCTCTCGTCCCGGCCAGTGAACCGACCCACCACCCTTCACCACCCTCCGCCAGTTGTGCGTTTTGAGTCGACTCAAACCACTTCAAACATCAAACAGAACCAGCTATTACCTGGTCTGTCACGTTGACTAAGATGCCAGGGTTGCTCTCGTCCCGCCCCGTATACCGACCCACCACTCTCCACCACCCCCACACAGATGCCGCCTGCCCAGAAAAAACCTCCCCTTCCTCCCCAGACACCATGCCAGAATAGGCGTCAGTTTCGCCGTAGGCCTCTGACTCGTCCGGGTCCTGGCTTAGAGAATTGATAAAGTTCTCTATGGTGAACGATGGGGACTCCCACGCGCCGTAGTACAGTAGGTACGCGTTAATAGGCTCGTGCTTCACCGGCCCGCCACCGTACGTCAGCTCCACCCAACCTGGAGGCCTTTCCTTGGGGGGAGGCGGAGGGGGGTACCCAGGCTCGGAAGCTCCGCCATCCGAACCTCCGCTGTTGCCTTGGGAGCCGCCTGAAGGGTTGGAATTGGTGAGATCCGGACCGTCAGGGGGGAAATAATCTGGATCGTCCACAGGTAGGAAGAGGCCCAATGATTCTCCCCCTTCCGACGCGGGTGCGGAGGCGGAGGCGGAGGCGGAAGGGGAAGGGGCAGGCGCGGGGGCGGGGGAAGGCCCGAGAGGCGCAAGAGTGGCGGTGATATAGGAATCCCCTCGCCGCCGAGGCTGAAGGGAGAAATCCATGGAGGACAACGCGGGGGAGGGCGGGGGAGTCGAAGGGGAAGCAAGGGGGAGCGGCGGAGGCGGAGAGGGCAGCGAAGGGGATGGCGGGGGAGGATAGGGGGGACTGCGGACGGAGGGAGATGGGGGTGGCTGAGACGTGATAGGGAGGGGAAAGTTACGCGCGACGGGTGGGGAGGGCGGAGGAGGCTGTGGCGGAGGGGGAGGGGAAGAGGGGGGTGGGAAGCGCGGAGAAGGCGGCGGAAGGGGAGGGGGGGGTGGGGAGAGCGGAGGAGACCGTGGCGGAGGGGGGGATGGGGAGGAACGGCCCTCGAGGATCGTCAGGAGGGCTTTAAGCGAGGGGAGTCGGGGCAAACCGCCGAGACCGCGTCTTCTTAAAGCCCGTCCAGGCGACACCAGGTGATGCGTAGGAGCAGTAACTGCCTCGCCCGAGTGATGGCTCTGCTTTTGTGAAAACGCTTGCTCGTATGACTCAAGCCGTGGAGTTCGGGCCGTACAGAGGAGAGGTGATAGTGCTATCGCTACTAATAGTAGAAACGCACATGCTACAGGTGTGGAGGGTAGTAGTGCGACGGGCATCATACGTTTTGTCCGACGAGCCGTCATTATGGTGAAAGGACCACGGGGAATGAGTCATTCTCCCGTTCGGCTGCTTATCAAGCTTTCTGTATTGCATTTTTTCAGGCGTTGTAATTACCCTGTTAACGCAGGCCCGGTACATGCTAGGCGCTAGGTCGAATCTCGGCGACGTCGTAGCGTCGGCAAACCACAGTCGGTGTCACGCTAGTCTTTCTTACTCAGGAGTCGATAAGCCCCTGAATGTCAGTACCTTCCAGGGCTAGCGGTTTCAAGCTGCTCGTTAGCAACTGCTGAAGACATCCTGGTTTTGTCCCCTAAAATGTCGTTTTCCTTCGGGCGTGTAACTTTTTCTCTTTCTGACCGTCCGGACGGCTCACCGTCCGGACTTTATCGGGTTACCGAATTCGGCATAATCCGTCCACGAATCAGACACGAAGCGAGAATTCTCGAAAACAGTAACCCTACAAAAGTCCGGACGATTGGCCGTCCGGACGGTCAGAAATGGAAAAAGTTACACGCTTGCTGAGTTTGCTGCTCTGGTTTGGTTTCTCAACGTTCAGTTTCCGTTATTGGGTGCTGCTGAGAAAATGGTTCGGGAAAAAATGGTTCAGCTGGACATTTCGAGTCGCGAGCAGGTGAAGTCTGGCTATTGTTCGTCATGGGATCTCGCTCGCTTTCAGATCATCGACGGTTCGCAACGAGGGAATTCAGGTCCACGGACCGCATATCCGTGAGTGGCATCGCTCAAATGTGACGTTTCGCCTCCCACGAACAAATGAATGCGCTATGTGAAACTCTATTTTCTGTACGAGAAGTATAATAAGTCATGTACAAGCATTTTATTTATCCTTCCATTTCGGCCAATGGGTGCTGAATCTTCCATATTCAACCGTTTTCAACCGTGAGGTGAACAAGGCCCTGAACGAACCAGGCCATATGCGGCGCAACCTGCTTCATAGGTGCGGTGAGGCCCTTCGCAGATCCCTTGGTCGGTCAGTATCCAAGCAAGCCACGCCCACACGGACTCTGCTGGTTGAAAAATGAGAAGACCGTTGGTTCCCGTGCACTGTGGCTTGGGGGGAAGGCAGAAAATGTTCCCCCCCTGTGGCGCTCCCGCCCAGCCGGAGAGCCAGGAATTGCGCATACGCGACGCACCAGCTCCGGGTTTCCGCGTGTCGCAGATTTTTGTCATTGACAGGTGTGCGGTGAGGCTAGTCCACCTAGTTGCGCCGAGTTTGCTGTACCACCGTGTCGTCTCACATAATCGCACGACACGACCCATGCTTCTGAATTGACATGACAGGAAATCGGGGGAAGCACAACGACGTTGTCGGAACAATTTTTTCAAGCGAAAGTAGGCGACGAAGCTAACGACAGGGCAGCGAAAAAGTCGGTGTGGTAGCTGGCGACGACAAATACGGACGAGCCCCTCCATCGCCTCGCCGCACATCCCTGGTGCCCCTCTCTCCCCTCGTGCCCCATACTCGTTTCATCTTCCCTCAGGTTTCCTTCATTCCAGGAAAACGTGTCGAGCTGTAACGCAGCCCACCGTCAGCGGAAGCGTGCGCGCATCCGCAACTCCTTTCCCCCAGCTTCCGGAACCGAACTGCCGTTTCGTGTCATCTCTAGACTCAACTTCACTGATACCCTGCTTCCGCGCAGCTCCCTCCCTCCCACCTCCGTTTCGCCGTTGCATCTCACCGCCTTTCATACAACCCTCACCTCTTCAGCCCTTGAGAAATCTCGAATTTGCTCAACTCAGTTCTGCCACATATGTTTCAGCTTCAGTTATATACAACTTGTTGGCAATTCTAGTGTCCTGGATAGTCAGGACTTGAGCTGCTTTTCAGCCGTTCCCTTCGAATTCGCAAGACTTTGAAAACCTGAGTGCAGCCGTTTGATAGAAACATAAGGCTGCCATTTCAAGCTTCCTTTCAGGACGCGCTTACCGTTTCTACCGTAGGAGCTTATTTACGCAAAGATCGTCTTCCAAAAGATTGTTTCCTGCTTGACCGACGCTTATCTGCTGAAACAAGCGTAGATTATTACAATGGAGGAAGTAGAGCTCGGCAGCGTTAATACAGAGTCTGGGCTGGTTATGAAGGAGGGAGGGTATGCGGACAAAACGACTCAACAGCGGCGGAGGAAACTAACGACAACCTTTGGAACGCAAGTCGACGCCATCATGCGGAGAAATCTCGCATATCAGGTACGCATGATCTTTGATCATCAAGCCTGCATGCGGACACTGTTGTCAGTAAGGCCTGCTGCAGTGCAGAATATGCACGTGGGGAAGGCTTATGTGTCGACTGCATTTCATCGTCCGGATTTGTCGCCTACGCGGGGACTTTCGGAAATAGCTGGGCCGGTAAGTTTGACAGAATCGCTGGGGTATTTCGGACGAAGCATGCGCATTTGTCACAATGAACGCAATGAATTTGACCAGATTCCATGCATACAGACCCTAAGAAGTTGTCGTGTTTTGAGTTCATGGATCATACCAGCCATCATACTCATAATAGGGATGATGCAGAATGAGTGGATCGTTAGGGATTTCAGTGCTTGAAATCCTGCTTGGTCGTGTAGACGTTTTTTTTTATATGTGCGAAAACGTTCCATGTAGCCGCATGTCATGCACAGACGTCACGGCATGCGAACCATGGCTTTTTCTAGTCTGGTCCATCGGGTGTTTTGTTTCCTTCAGCGCTTCAGAAAGATTTCCCTTGGCGCGCGCGAGAACGATCCATGTAGCTGCATTTGCAGGACTAGTAAAGTCAGGACGCTCTGCTTTTCGTGGCTGTTGGTTTTCTAGAAGCCGCATGTCTCGTACAGACGCCATTGGTGGACTGCTTTTGGCGCTGTCCTTAGCCGCGGCTGCTCAAGGCGTGGTATGTCTCACGAGCCATCCACCGCTACGCTTCTTTATACCCCCTCATCCCACGGAAACAAAATGGGGTAGCTATTCGTGTGTCGCGAGTGAAGCGTTTCACTAACCACCCACCTCTGCATTTCTTCTTCCCCTCCTTATCCCACCGAAACGAAACTGGAGCAGCAACCTGTGTGTGGTGAGCCTGCCGGCCTTTATGTGCCTCTTCCTCTTCCTCATCCAACTCACAAACCACCCACCGCTGCATTTCCTCCCCCCCCACTCCCCCCCTTTCTCCCGTCCACTCTCCCCCTGTATCTCACAGAAACGAAACTGGGGCAGCAACCTGTGTGTGGTGAGCCTGCCGGCCTTCATGTGCCTCTTCCTCTTCCTCATCCAACTCCTCATCGCCAACGTTCTCAACGCGCGCTTCAAGTGCGGCTGTGGCTGCCCCACCGAGTTTAAGAACCCCGACGGGTCCTGCCAGACCGGAAAAAAAGTCTGCGGCCCTCAGTACACCGACAAGCTCGGGCAGATTGCGTTTTGCGAGTTCCCGCACCCGCCAGCCTGGCCGGCGTTTCTGCAGGTGCCGGACGAGAAATTCCGGGCGGTGGACACAGGGTCGGGCGGCGGCCTGCCGCCCAGCAGCTGCCGGGTGAGGCCGGCGAATTTCTCGATTGATCAGTCGACGAGCATGGAGGGCAACGGGACGTACCCGTGCTTTAACTCGGTCTTATACACGGGACAGAACCGGCGCATCGCTGACAGTGAGTGACTCGGGCGGACTAGACAAGTAGTCTTAATGAGTGAGAGAGAGAGAGGGGGGAAGAGGGAAGAGAAGGGGGGGCAGTGCGATTGAGCCTTCTCGTGCTTTAACTTGGAGCCTTATATGGCGCATAGCTGGTAGATGTGAGGTTGTGAGGAAGAGGAAATGGCGCGCGTGTGTGAAAGACCCCTCCATTCCTCCCTCCTCTCCCTCTCTCCCCAAACTCGCCCATCCCCTCTCCCCCTGCAGGCATAGGCTCGAAGCTCATCCCAGACGTCCCTCTCTTCTCCCTCCAAACCGCCAAGAAGAAGCAGAGCGTCATGCTCTACCTCACCGATCCTCCCTTCAACCAAACCTCCGCGCCAGGCTCGGGAACACCCCCACCCGCCACAGCAGCAGCAGCAGGTCCGGCAGCGAGGAGAGGCCTGAGGAGGGTCGAGGAGGTGCTTCCAGCCAACGTGGTGCGGCGAGTGATTCAGGAGGCGAGCAAATGGGAAACCGCCACACGCACAGGTTGTGGCGCCTCTGTTAATTCCGCTCAGGAGGGAAACTCCCGTCGGGGACTGCAAGCCAACGGTAACTGGGAGACTGACACAGGCTCGGGCAGTGGCAGCGGAGGCAGCGGCGGAGGCTCGGGGGGTGGCGGCGCGCTGGGAGGCTTGGCGGGCGGGTTCGGCAACATGACCAGCGCAACCGGGCCAAACGCGACGAATTTCGGCGTGTTCAACTTCACGAGCACGTCCTACATGATCCCTGCGATCACCTACGACATGGCGTATGTCCCCCCCGGGTCCAGCACCCTGCGGGGGTGGTCGCTGTACCTGGAGGAGGCACTAGTGGGGTCGGTGACGACGGGGAAAGTGCGGAACGTGACGATTTATCTGATTCAGCCCAGCTGCGCGAAATACAGCCTGCTGCCGCAGAGCTCTAATCTCGCGTTTTCCGGCTTCGACATGACCATCCGTGAGTGGGGAGGGGTGCGGGGAGGGGGAGGGGGTTCAGGGTTGATGGGTTGGGCTTAGGCCGTGTATGCTGGTGGAAATGTTGTGTGCGTAGAGAGTAGCTAGGGCACAGCTGCGCCAAGTACAGCCTGCTGCCGCAGAGCTCCAACATCGCCTTCTCCCGCTTCAACATGACCATCCGTGAGTGCCGCTGGGGGAGGGGGGAGGGGAAATGGGTATGGCTCGTGTATGCTGGTGGAAGTGGCGTGTGCATGGCAAGCAGCTAGCTGCCCCAGAGCTCCAACATCGCCTTCTCCCGCTTCAACATGACCATCCGTGAGTGCCGCTGATTCCTGTAGAGCAGGTGGGAGGGACCGGGGCGAGTGTGCCTAGGTGTGACTAGTGTGTGCGCAGGGCAACCCCTCCAACC